TCCTTGTCAATTACAACAAATGTGCATTCTTATTCGCTGAAAATCTGTCTTTTACCGTGTCGCTTGGAAGTGAGTATTCATTTTCATTGCTATAATTTATGATCGCAAAATATACGTTCGATTTGATTAGAATATACACATTTGCACAAATCATGACACAACTTTGAAAAAAAGTCATGTTACTCATTTATAGTATGTTTGTGATCAAATTGTAAAAAATTAAGTTTCTATGATTGAAATGCAGCACAAGAAGAAAGGTTCCTTCAGCGCCGGAGTTTATAGGTTTCCTACAATACTCGGTAGTTTCAATCATGAACATTCAAACATTTAACCAATCAACAAAGCACTTCTAAGAATATAATTTCTGTTGGCCCACAAACGAATTCTAATTCTTTACCAGGTATAAATAAATAAACACTTGGCGCGAAATCGCCTGCCCATTTTGCGAAATAGCTTGAGTTCAAATGAAGATGAATGCTGGATTGCAGAGATGCATTCGATTTCGCGCCAAAATGAATGTCAATATACTAAACCAGTGCAATATCAGGGAATTGATCGCGGACTCTGTAACACTGAATACAACCTCCTTGAAGTAGAATTGTTAATTGTTAAATAGAAATAGGAAGATGAATGTTCGTTCTATTTCGCTTGAAAAGGAATGCTGCTGTTGCTAATTCATTCACACATTTCCGAAAATTGGCTGGAAATATCATGAAAGTTTAAGTCTTGTAGTGCATATTTGGCTGCATATACACAACTATGATCATAATCAGGAAACAAATGTAAAGTTGAGGCCTAAGAAAGTTGTGTGGCTTCTATCTTTTTTTAATATTCTGGATGTAAACACCGTTTTATCTGGAATACCATACCGTCCAGATACAACTCCAATTCCGTAAGATTAAGTGAGAAGATTTTGGTGAGAAGTCTGTAGAAGTCTTTCACACTGTACTCCGCGTTTTGTGTTTTACCTCGACCCCTGGGAAGCTATTCCCACTGGTATTTACGCATAAGAAACATTCTTGTAGTCGCATAATGTCGATAAATTGCAGGCAGTCTGCATCATTCAACGGTGCATAAATACATGCATTGTTCCGGTTAGCACTAATAGATTTCGTCATTCCCACTGACGGACCCCTCCTTGGTACATAGAAATAGATTAGGTACCGCATGTCGATAAGTAATGAGCCGAATAGGGGATAGGGCGAGAGACCTAATGGCTAAAATAAAACTTAACATAAAATAAAGATAAAACTTTCTGTTATGGAAAAGGATTTACTGTATATTTTCCAAGGTCCGACGTTAACCACTACCAACACACAGTTCGACCACATGCACACACTAAGTAAAGTGTATATTTGAAAATATTTCCCTAAGATCCCAGAGACTCTTTTAGGAGAGTGGGCCAGGCCAACATTCCAACATTCTTGTTGGAAAAGGAGGTATGACGTAACATTTACCAATTGCAAGCTCCAAAACATAATGGTCTGAAATCTTCGCTATTTCCCTTTGAGCTTAAAGGAACAGGTTGGAAGACATTAAAATATTGCATAGTCGGAAAACTATTTCCCCTCCTATACGACATTATGATCAGAAAAGCCAACGTCTGGTGTCCTCTAACTACCACACTAGACCAGTATCATGGGTGTATTTGGTAATGACGCAGCAAGTGACATCGCAGATTTCAAGTATATAAGACTACTAGAAGACACATATACATGTAGGCCTATTTTATCAATTGACGTCTGATGTAGATATAGAAGAATGAAGAAAAAACACTCTTGGAAGAGCCATAACGAGGGTCAACTCTTTTTCGGTTGGTTTTCCACCATTTTTAGAATAAAGGTTGCATCTTTTTGAGTGACTTTTGTTCACTCTGATCCAGAGTGAACACCACTGTCAAGGGGAAGGTAATCACCACTCCAGGCCTTGCAGAGACCAATGTTAAGAACATTTCAAAATGCAATAAGTGATGTCTTCCGTTCTGTTGCATTTAGAGAGTGCGTCCATGTTTGTTGAACGCGAATAGGAGACATCGTCATAGAACGTCATAGCAGAAAGACAGTTGTTAGGCCTTAAAATATTGACTCGATCTGACATTATTGGCCCCTCGCGACCAGCTAATTACTTGCCTGTCAGGGGAGTGATGACGCACGACCCTGTCCATATAGACTGACGAGCTGAACTCAGCAAAGATGCACATCACGCTAAATGACAGAAATGTTCAGTGAAAGGAAGAAACGTATAAAGGAAATATGAAACAAGGCAAACCAGAAATATGTGTTTCGATGAGGAAACAAACCAGACGCAACTGCAAATCCAGCATCAAATTTTCGAGGGGGCCAAAACTTTTTAAGGAAATTTCGGATTTTTCATGTGTCCCTTTACTAGTATACTGCCTTTGATTAGGCTAATTTGGGACTTTTCAAACGCTTTTGAAAGGAAGGAATACTTTGGCCAGTTTAGGAAATGTTCCTTTTTGCTTGGGGGCATGGTACCTGTTTGCTGTCTGGATCCATCAGTGACCAAATACTAAAGGATATGATCAGTTCATAATTTCGCGAAGTCTGTATAGTGGTTGAATGAAACAGTGTTCTGGCTGCAGCCCTTCCAACAATAAAACATCACCAAAAATGCCAGTGGTCGTATTTTCAACAAAAGAATTAAATCAATCGATGCATCAATTGTGAACATTGAAAACGTCATAACATTGTCAAAATCATCAAAAAACGCTACAGCAAACAGACACGTAAAGTTGATTCAAGGACTTTGCCTTGACCCTGCATGCATGCTTGTCTGAATCTTCCGAAGTTTTTTTCAGTTTTCTTTTTCAGACAGATTCATTTTATTCATGATCTCGTCTACGGATCTCAATTTGGGAAGAGTTTCAGGCAGTTTATATTGTCATAGAAGGGCAGTTCGAGTAAATGATCTTTGTGTACAACTTAACTGTTTTTGTTAAACTTTTCAATTTTGTTGTGCCATATAGTTCCATTTAAGACTTTTTTTATGTAAATGGTAATTCGAATGTTTATGAGCAAATGTTCGATGTCATTGAAGGCAGAAACCTTGGAGCTGTAGCTGTTTCTACACCCAAATTCGTACGAATCTTGGTTTAATTTTGCTGAAGTTTGTTCACGCTGATGATTTTTTGGTTTCAGTTATGACAGGTTGAAAACTGAGTTAATAAGGTTTTCTGACAAATATTTGTAATGGGCAAATTTCTCAAGAGGTTCCTGTAAAACATGCAGTTTTTCTTTGTCGGGAAAAAGAAAAGTAAGTTTCAGTTGCTTTAAACGAGATATCAGGCAGTTTTCTTATCTATGAAGAGGTGCCAAAACTACCACAAAATATGGTCCCAAGTAAAATTCCCATTTTACACACACTTTCACGTCCGTTAAATTGTCTTCTATTCGTGCGAGGTACCCTCTCCTTGAATCCCTACAGCATGTTCCAAAAATCAGTCGTTGCTTTTAATGTAATACCGAACAATGCGATGTACCCAGCAGAAGTATTACTTTTTAATTTGAAAGTTGTCATTCGTTTCTGCTCTGAAGATAAATGAAAAAAAAACCTCCCGTTTTTACAATGCTGCAGGAGTGGGTGAGCAGAATTGAACGATCGACGGGGTAGCTTGAACAGAATTTTCCCGGCCAAAGCATTTTGACAAGAACTGTATATTTTGTTACTTTCTTGCTACCTTGACCTCCTCGGCAACAGGTTGGAGTTAGTGTAGTACATTAAAATTGCAGGGTTTCTGTGAGACTTGAACATTATGTTGGTGCCTGCAGCATATACCTGCTATACGAAACAACGTCGTATCTCTACTGCCGTCAGGTTTTTCGACTGAGCTCCTTTAATATTACAAGCAGGCCGGTATTTTTGCTGGTATCATGTTTTATGCTCGGTTGACCATATTTCCAATGTCGACATTACAGTATCTGTAAACACAATGGCCCTACCTCTACGCGTAACAAAGACGTGGTATAGCCTATATACTGCGAATTTCTCATAAAAACCGCTCGATTGTGCACTATCGCAGACAGCGTTGCCATAGGTGAACAGGGCTAGGGACGCGATGATAGCGTGATATATTACAACGATGACACCTTCATTGTGGCACTGATTTACTGGCGCCGTCTCTAAGGGCAGTAGAAGGAAAATGGCAAGTATAATGTTTCCCTTTTTCAAGTGCCAGATATCAAAGGGTTTGGGGGTTTTCTCATCTGGGAGAGCATTCAGTAGCCATGCATGCAGAAGTCTTGACGTCTCTTTTCATGTTGGCATTAATAAGGAGGCCAACATTCCTCAGTCGTTGAATAATTTCTCTGATGAATCAACCGGCTACCAGTACATTAATGGCATATGTAATTGCAAGTGACGTTAACGGTGTATGACAAAAAGGAAGAAGGTAATGCCATTACCGATATGGAAACAGTGAAAATATCTCATCCAACGCAAAGGGTTTAGGAACTCCGTTTGAAAGACGGAAAGAAATTTTATGGCAGTTTACTGATAGCAGACATGCAAATGGTTGCTTTTAAGAAGATCAATCATCATATCGTGGTATAGTTTTCTTCGTGTTTATCACCCTCAACTTGTAATTCGAATTCTAATCTACCAATCTGATGTCCGTCCCAACTTGGAGGACAGTGGATTGTTCCCGGGGATATGCATAACTACAAATCCATGGTTACTTGACATCGAAATTTCCAAGGTCAAGCTGAAGGATCCCGTTTTCAAGAAAAGTTGGTAACTTGTCGGCTTATTTGAGCTTACGCCTGATTGCTACGGTCCTGTCAAGGCTTTGAGGTAGTTTAATGTAATTCCACCTCATGATACTATCATTTTAATTGTCGCATAAATAAACTGCTTTTCTCTCCTATTTACTAGTGCTCCGATTTCAACAGTGCAGTTTCTAGGTGCCGTCAGTGAGGCTGCTTCATTGGACATTTACCTTGAGGCTGCTTGTTTGGACTAATTTTCATTTTGTGTGTTTGCAGGGCTCACCGGCAGGGCAGGGATAATCTTTCCAACCGTGCCCCGCAAGGACTGCACGCCATGAGACGGAAAGCCTACGATTCTGTGCTGGCCTCCCTTGGTAGCAATCAACACGAGATTCTAGACGAGGACGAGGTTCGCTTTTTGCAGGCTGTAGAATTCGGGGATCTACCGACCACCAGGGCCATGTTGGAGCGACCCGACATCGTATCCCGCCTGCTCAAATGCACGGACTACAAAGACAGGACATGCCTCGAGATCGCCACTGAGAATGAACACTTAGATATCGTAGAACACCTGATACGAGCTTTCGGCAGACAACTCCCGCTACAGTGTATTAATGAATCATTAATGCTGGCCATCAGCAAGGGTTACCTGCGGATAACGCAGACACTTCTCACTCATCCTATGTTTCAAAAGAGTAAAGATAAGTTCCGGCTGGGCAGTTTGACCAACTACTTCCAGCCAAAGAATAACTCAAAGTTTGACCAAGACATCACCCCTATTATGCTGGCCGCACACTGCAATGAGATTGACATCATACGGTTGCTACTTCACAGAGGCGATTCCGTCAAGAAGCCTCACCACTCACTCTGCGAATGCACGTCTTGTTACAACAAGCGACTCTTTGATCCCTTGAAGCATTCCCTTGCGGGTATTCATGCGTACCGTGCTTTAGCTAGCCCGGCTTACATATCGCTGACCAGTCGAGATCCCATCCTCAGTGCCTTTCTACTTAGCCAGGAATTAATGCAACTCTCTAAAATTGAAAAGGAGTTCAAGGTAAGCCTTTTGTCAGAATTTCTCAGATACGCATATAAAATATTGATCGGATGAGTTAAAAAAAAAATGGTGTGTTTTCCCCACCGTGACTCATGTATAGATCCGATGTATCCCGGTTGCACTATATCCCGAGGGATGTGTTGTACTCAAAATTAGACTGAGCTGTGTAGCTCCCCATACCCTGGTCAGATGGAGCTTAATACAGTATTCTTCAGTTGAGGGAAGTCAACAAGTCGCTTATCTTATTAGTCAGTAGACCACTAATCAACTAAGGGGAAAGCAGAATCCAGAAAACAGAATAAAGCACATATCATGTTGTACAAAAATTGGAAGTGTTGTAACAAGTTAATTTACTTTATGTGTGCGATGTGTACACATCACAACTGTGAAGGTAATATCAGGAGTAGGTCAAAAGCTGTCAGAAAGGGGGCGCTTCTGTTGGAGATGCCCTGCGGATATTTTGCCAGATGTGTGTTTTCCTCACCGTGACTCATGTATAGATCCGATATTGCACTATATCAACTCGACACAGAACTACGGCACAGCATTATCAGTTCTAGAGAAAGGGAAATATGGAGCACAATATGAAATGTCCTATAGCTAAAAGAAAAGTCTGCCAATGCAGAACTTAACATATAGCCACTTTTCAAAAGGATAAATGTTTTGAGGACGAATGATTCTCAAACCGTATTGAAGATAAAGATGTAAAATAAGTTGAGAAAAGGGAGATATGTAAGGGCTGCGTAGCACTGTGATCAGAATATCGACGAGAATATGATATCAAATCAGTGCTCTGAAATATGTAATAAAAGGGAGGACGGTTTTGTATAGGTCCTGCGAAAAACGTAATGAGGACAGAGAGGCCAAAGATGGAGCAGGCGAGCAGACAGTAGCCGTCAGAACCCGACCGGACTCTCCATCGCCGCTAAAAAATGAGGCTTTTAAAACAAAATGCCATGTTCGGAGCCAATACATTAAAATGGGAATGCATGTTGGTGCAATATTGACAGCTTCAGCATCATTATGCAGGGTTGGCACAAAAGAACGAAAACAGAGAGTTCCGTTGAGCCTTAGGGAAAGGGTGAGAGATGAGTTGATCGAATCTGAAGGTTTTTATTTCAGCCCTTTCCCGTTGGAAAACATTAGTTTTGAAAGGTTATTTAATTTAATGTTTTTGCCTTGATGAATTTTGGTTCATTGAGAAGGGGGATACTCAATTGTAAGCGCTATCCACTCCACTTGAGCCTCACTTATTTGCGTGATGGCTGTATTACATTATGCTATGATGTATCATTTCCTGCGTTCTTCTGATGGAATGTTTTGCATGGAAAGCCTCTTTTATTAACAGTATTGGGAGGTCGAATCGGGTACCATCGGTCTGTCGAATCGGGTGCCTCCATCGGTCTGTCTTTGGGACACATCCCACCAGAGTTCATGCTATTAGTTTCAGTTGAATTAAATTGTGTTGGATACGTTGGATCGAAACCTATGTATTTTGTTCGTCGAGCTTCCTTTTTTGTGTAGTCATATTGGGATAGGTGACCACAGAAGATTTTTAGTGACCCACATGGAGCTATTGTTTCATTCTGGACGCAAGAAACGCGGAGAGGGTCCCAGACGAGACGCAGAAGGTTAACCGCTCTAAATATATTCAATTTTGCAACACTGCGCACCATTCTAATGATCGACATTGTTGAGCCAGGAAAAATTGTGCCATTCCTCGTCGTGTATATGCGAGCATTAGTCTGTCGATTCGCTGTAGACAAATTCAAGCAGAATCAGTCCGCGAACGTAATTACAAAACAACAAAAGCGTTCGAAAGCGAGGTCATACAAGATGGCGGACGCACCTTCGGCGCCAGACACGGAGCCATTAACCTGAGCTCAATAATAAGATATTAATTGTGTCGCACACTTCACTGAGAATACTGCAAAGATATTCCGCCTTCTGCGTTTGTTGCATTTCTGTGCAAACTATATGCATAGGCTATCTGATTTAAGGTCAATTTAACACACATGAGGTAAAATCTTTAATAAACTCGATGGATAGATATAGTCAATGTAAATGCCCTTAGACTTGAATGAGAAATTCGATCTCGAATATGCACTATTATACTTGGCAATTTGAAATGCGAGTGCAGCATTCTGATTCCTTTTCCTTTGTGGCAACAGCGAAGAAATCAAATTCGTCTGAAATTTGCCAAATAATGTAAAGTAATATGGAGTCGTTTTTTATGTGTACTCATTTCGAAAGTTACACCAGAAACAGCCTGACATACTAAGAGGAATCTTTCTCAGAGGCAGACTGTCTCCATTTTCACAAACAGACAATTTTTTAAACAGAAAGATGGCAGAATATGCTTAAATTTGTATCAAAATACAAATAGTTAAATGTTAAATGATATTAGGAAAATGCATTTAGTATGATGACTGTTTTTATTGTCTGATGATTAAAGGGTCCGTGAAAAGTGGTTTTATATGTTGTAATTAGAAAGTATACATTTTTAACGATATCCAGAATGAAAAAGTGATTGTTTTGATAAATAAATGGGAGAAAACAAACATCAACTTTTGGCGAGCCGCCCCCCTATTGACATAGAACATTTGCATATCTGCGACGTACATTTGATAAGACATCGTCGCGCGCCGCTAGCGCGTCAATGCACATCTCAGATCGAGTTCGGAAAATTCAGTCCAGTGTAGGGTGTTTCAGAGATCGTGCCGATCCCAGTTGTGTTACTGCAGGCAGTGGCAACACCTGTAAACTTTCCAACCAAAGCGTAATTTTGACGAATTTGGACATCGAAAATCAGGCTGACTGGGGGCAACTAGTCACAACTGTCAGGGAGCTTCAAATCGCGCAGTGTGCATTTCGAGTCACAGTGTTTTCCTCCGAACACGAAAACTCGTTTTTCTGAAGTCTGACGCCGTGCCCACGATCTGCGGGAAATTTAAAAACAATAAAACAAAATACAAAAGAAAAAAAACGCCCATGAGCAAAGATGAAGTGAAGCTTTAATGAAACGCGATGATAAAGGGTATATTTAAAATTGTACGAGTCAATATCCAAGTTTCTCTCGGCTTTAGACGAACCAAAAAGGTGCCTGGCTATAATTTGGGTTCTCAAATGTACGTCATCCATAATGTCATCATTTTTGAGGATTAAAACATTAACTTGAGGGGTCAGTACAATGAACCACAGCAAAGGGAAAGGTATTCCTTAACCCCTATTGTGTTATTTGCATATTAATCAAGTTTGCCCACGGAGGTCTTTGTGGACCCTTTGATAAAATAACCGTATGAAATTAATATATTACGTTTCTTAAAACATTCACTGTGCTGTGAAAATCGTCCATTTAGAACTGAAAGGAAACTGCACAAGTTCGTGTAGGGAATAATACCGCAATTTGATGACATTAAGTGTTTTGTCAGTATGGTTTTCGCAGTACTGGGTGTCCTTCATGCGAAATGGTCGGCTTTTAATTTTTGATTGAATCCGTCTCCTTGTAACTCGTCTGTACGTCGTGTAAACACGCTCTGCCCTCGAATAATTGTCGATCGGTGGGCAGGATTAACGTTCAAGGTGATATGAGCTGTACAAGTTTGCAATTAAAGACGTGTCCCTTACTCGTGTTTATACAAGTCTAATACCTCACGGATTTGCTAAAGTGCCTGTCAATATAGAATGGCATCGTAAGACAAGATGATACAACACATGGATTAAAAACTAAATTAAACCTCTGCACCATGGACAACGAAATGAATGTCCCCTGACCGAATTTAAAAACACGCTATCCAGCTTCACACATCATCTTTTGTGCATTCCGTTCTGATAGGCCTAGCCTTCCTATTCTTCAAGTTCACATTCTACAGGTGAATGCATTGCCTAAAATGGAATAAACATTAGCATTAAAGTCGCCATCCATAGCATTCTGCCACACTGGATTATTTATGCTGCATACCCTGCCGAATTTGTCAAACTGAAGCCAATTTTCGAGCACCCATCAGTAGCGAACGAAACTGAATGACGATTAAAGACCAGCCAAACCAAACTCAGACGAAAAAATCAATTCCTGTATAGAAGTGCACCATGATAATTGTGTTTGCCTATCATGAAAAAACGTTCTACAAATTAGAATAAGCACAAGATGCATTTCAATTGGCCGGGGCACTCCGCGACGTGCTGTTCATCATTCAAATTAGTTTTGGGGCTAGCTTTTTCCGACATGTGTGGGTTAACTGAATATGCTTATGGGTCATTCCGAGTCAGACCAACACGCTTTTTGACCTTAGGTCTTCAGATTTTGATGAAACTTGCTGTGCTTGAAGACATCAATGAAATATAAATAATTGCCAATTTTTAGCGGAATCTGCATTTCCATGTGGTCAGGGCAGAGGTAAAAAAATTGACAGTTTCACTTAAAAATCCACCCTTTTAGTAAAACCCTCTCATTTTTTATCGAGTATATGCAAATGTGGTATCGAAATAATCAGATGAATATGCTACTTTCACTGATGTTGTGGAAATTTAGCTTTGTGAATCAATAGTCAAAATAACCTTTGACATGCGCCTGTGACCTTTGACCCCATTAAAAAAAAGTATCACTTTAAAAATTTTTAAACCAAGTGTTTATGAAAGTATGGTTCCTGCTTTAGAAGAATCCGCTTAAATTTTTCTGGGGTATTTAAAAATCAAAAATGTGGCAATTTTCTACAGTCGATCAGCTTCGAATAATTATGTATGTAATCCTAATACAGGAATTCGTACCCAAGCAATTTATGCTTTAAAATGAAATTAATCCTAAGGTGTATGTAAAATTATGTATTGAAATCGGAGGATTTGGGACTGTTAGGTTTAATAAAGTTTTAAATGGTTTCAAGGGCCAGAGAAATATGTCACACAAAATGATCATGTCATGTGAGGAGCCCGTTTTAGGAACATAAGGTAATTGAGTTTGAATATACAGTACATATGAGGACTGAGGAGCTGTCATGTATTGACTGGACTAAACGTAACACCCGAGGGTGCTAAACTACATGTACTCACTACACTTACCCTTCGACCTTGCATAGCCACAATTGAGTACATGTAAGTCAACAGTGTTGCACAAATTTCAACCCTACCCACAGTGCATTTTTTCCAGAAACTGAGCCTTCAAGGGTTTTTAGAGTAACTCTTTGCAGCCATTTTGACATAATTTTTGCATATAGCCAAGAACTTCAAATGACCCCAACAACAAAACCATAAACTTCACATTAATGCTTCAGGTTTAGCCCCCCCCCGTCTCTTTTAGAGTTAAAACTTATGCATTGTTTTGCGAATACTCCAACTCTTTGGAAAGAGTGTGAGAATCTGAAGCTAGTCTCGCTTTTTTTAAACTGTAGCCAATTTCTCATTCAACTGTTCCAACAATTCATCGGGGGTTAGGCTGTTGGCAGTGGAACCTGTTGACTTCCAGGTATAAGACCGAGATGCTGATATTCTTGTAAATTTCTACCATAATGTTCACGAGTCTTAACCCTTTGGCATACACCGTACCTTGCTTGGGTGTAATTGGAGGGGATCACAGCATTTCTGCTGATTAGCAGAATACAACCTTCCAAGTTGTTGGAAATGTGGTAACATGCGCTGCTTAAAATGATTCATAACCCAATCTGATGAGACGTTAACGCTGGGGAAGTGATGTTCAGTGTCGTCAGAACAAACATCTACTTCACTTACGTACTTTCCCACTGAACAACCGAGCCATTGTTTTATCCTACCATATGTCTACTCATTCCAAACACGACAGATCACTTGAAAAATAATCCTTAAAATAGGAATGCCCACCTTAAATCCTCTTGACACCCATTCGAAATCCACAAGAGTTTCTGCTTTACCCGTACAGGCGGCTACACAACACAACATTCTTTCATGCCGGCTATTCTCTTTGTGAAAGAAAATCGGATTTGAGGGTAACACTGTTGACTTGTATGTGCTCAATTGTGGCCGTGCAAGGTGCAAGGGCGAGTGTAGTAAGTACATGTAGTTTATCACCCTCGGGTGTTACGTTTAGCCCATTCAAAACATGACAGCTCCTCAATCCTCGTATATTCAAACTCAATTACCGTATGTTCCTAAAATGGGCTCCTCACATGAAATGATAATTTTGTGTGAAATATTGCTCTGGCTCTAAAAACCATTTAAAACTTCATGAACCCCTACAGTCCAGAATCTTCCAATGTCAATATCATTTCACGTACACCGTAGGGTTGATTTCATTTTAGAGCATAAGGTGCCTCGGTAAAAGTTCCTGTTTGATTTTAGATTTTAGATACCCAAGAAAGATTAAAGCGGAAACCTAAAGAGGTTTTGCGTGGAAGCCATCTTGTAGGGCAGTTCTTTTGTCCCACAGGGAAACCTCCTTTTTGCTCACCCTTTCGAACAAAAGCACTGACCTGCAAGTTGGCAGCCATGCAAACCCTCTATTAGTATTCTGAAAGCAGTGCATTGTAAAAATAGTAAAGTTGATAATTGGAGAAACCTTCACACAATTTACAAGATGTTAAGTGTTAACTATAATAACAACTTACATCTACATTATCACAGAATGAATACAGGGATCTTGCCAAGCAATGCAAAAAGTACGCATCCGATCTCCTGGATATGTGCCAAAACTCGCAGGAGGTCCGTACCATTCTCAACCAGAGGGGTAACACCATGGAGGGTTTTGCCCCGGCAGACTCTGAGGAACAAATAGACGGTGAATTCAGCCCTGACACGGAGACTACCGACAACGATTTGGCGAGACTACGGCTTGCTATCAAGTACTACCAGAAACAGGTAAAATGTCAACAACATCGTCCATACAGATGGAATGACAGTATACCCCAATAGTAAAGGTATATGATATTAATTTGTCTGGATTGCTTTACATATTAGGACCTAGAATGGGAGTGAGTTTCCATTTGCTTTTCTGAATAATCTCATTCCCATCCGGACAATTTTATATGGGCGTTAAATAATTCCTTACATTTGCATTAAACAGCTAAGTAGACATATAAAACATAATGTGAAACTTACAAGGTACGTTATAAACTAAGTTTTCCTTGCCAAAAATGATCAGGTGGTCATATCGAAGGGAATCGTGGTTCCTCTTAGATTTTCGAAGTTCGTGTTAGTTTTCAGACTTGAGACTTCATTTTGAAATTGAATACCTAATTGAAAGAAAGACCCAACTCCAACAAAACCTTTTTTGAGTTCAAAAGAAAAAAATGAATGTTTTTGAAGGAGTTGTAAAAGAAATCAATTAACTATCCTAGGTTAAAATGGTAGAGTTGGGCCTTTCGTTTAATGAGGTATTCAATTATCTTAAATTGAAGTTTCCCCATTTGCTTTTGGGGGTGGTTCTAAATTTGAAAAAAAAATTGTTTGTTACTATAATTCTTTCAGGGACGGCGCTAGAACAACATTTTAAGGGGCCAAATATCGGGTTTTTCAGAAGAAAGGAAAATGAAATACACCAAAGCAACTCAACTTTCTCGCATTATTATTTTTAAAAGATTTGTTGCCTCCTTTTTGGGGGTAGAGGTGGACCGCCATAGCCCCATTGCCATCGGATGCACCCCTAAATACTCTTTTGCATCTTTGAAGGGATTAGAAGTGGCTTGTTCTCAATAATGTATAAGCTGTTTGAGTATTCGACTCGATACCTCGTTGAAAGTGATATCTGTCAATTAATACGCTCCTGCCAGGATTACCTAAACAAAATTTCATGTGGCTTTTTAAACATCGCATTTGAGCGCTTCAATCAAAGGTTAAGTGTCAACATTTTAAAATTTCACAAACAGGTCTGTAGTGCTTGCGACTTTGAAGGTGACCAAACTATTTAGGAATTCTTAGCACTTTTTTTTTTGCCTCTCCGAGGTGTGAGCCTACTTTTTTAGGCCCAAGGGAAGGAACTGAACTAGTCCCCCAAATTTCCTTTCTTTTATTATTTAAAAAAAGAAAGAAATTTGCTGCCCTTAGGGGGTCATTGCCCTGTCCCCCCCCGGCCCTCCATGTTCTAGCAATAAATGTCCACACCATAACCAGAGAAAATCAGTCAGACACTGCATGCCTTCAAAATGAAAAACCAAGAGGTGAGAAGTGATGTAAGATCCTATTTTGAATTCCTTCGCTTCCATTTCAAATATGCTTGCCCCAAAAGTGGCGAATTCGATTGACTAAAGCGCATCTGAAAGCAATCTGTTAAGTTGAATACCTCACACCATATACCTAAACAGACATAAAGTGATCTAACTCACAAACCTGCTACGGTATTCACTCGTGGCATGTCATTGTGTTGAGACGTTGGCTACAGCAATCATCGCCATTGTGTACCTCTCTTTTCTTAGTTTGTAGCGCATCCTCATTGTCAGCATCAACTTGCTACAATGTGGTACGACGGGTTCCCTGGCTGGAGACGAAGCGGTATAGTGTACAAGATTCTCATTACTCTCCTCATTCCACTCTGCTTGCCATTTCTAGCAATTGCCTACTGGGTGGCACCCACATCAAAGGTAAATCTTCATTATCGCGCATATTTCTTTTAAACAAAAACACTGATAGCCGCTTTGTTTGATCACTATTTTCGATTGGACTTTCTTCGTACCGACACTGCACAAGCGAAATCTAGGCCTACTACATTTGAAGGAAGAGGACATTTCTTTTACTTGTGCAGTACAATTATATAAAGAGAAAAAAAATGTTAGAAATCAGATGGAAACAATTGTGTGTTGCCGTCCACACTTTGGTCATTTCTCGTTGGTAAAAGGTCCGTATGTGGCGTAGACATATTTTCCTTCCATGCAGCGGCATTCAGTAGAAACAAAATGACGTATTGCGCGATGGGAATATAAATCAAAGATGGCGGACACGATCGTCAGTAATGTGAGCCTTCGCGCGACTTTAGACGGAGCAAACTTGCGGTCTCGTGGAAGCTTGAAAAAATGCAGCTCCAGCGTTCGTCTTGTTAACAACAGTTAACAGGAACCATTTTGGAAAACATAGGCCTAGGCCTTCTCGATTTCAGGATCTTTTTGACATGGCGCATGATGTTAGCAATAGCGTGGTACTGTCGTCCCCACCTTTCACCCACAATGCACCACAGTTAATATTGCGTTACCTCATTATGTTTAAGGTCTATTCATTTGTTAGGTCCGATCAATTTAGTTTTTCAGTCTTGTGAAAGGAAGGTGAATTGGCCTCTTTTGAATAACATTCTACTAAACAAGTTATGAACACTATTCCTATTCCACACATCCTTTTGGGTTAAGTGTGTTGAGGAGTGGCCTTTTTGAAATATTTAAAATTGTCCATGCTTTTCTGGAACTGTTGCTTTGATGTCATAGCGATCAAATTTAGAATTTCGTTCGAACTGAACTTTTCCAGCAAAGAATACTTACATTTGCCCAAACCATTGGCCAAGAACATAATTATAGGGGCCTACTCAGTTACATTTTAATTAAGTGGACAAACATTTTTGACAATGCTGCATTAAATTTCTAATACACCATTGACATTACTTTGGATAGCAAAGACGAATTTGAAAAAAAATATGCCTACACAAAATATTAGATACGGATGAAGAATTTATTTTCAGAATTTAAGGACTTGATATTCAGGTCAGAAGGAATATAGCGCACTTGTAAAAGAATCCATACCGGCAAAGGAAAAAAATGACACCTTGAGTTAAAAATTACAGAAAATTATACAGATGAAAAATACAGTTTCCTAATTAATTTGTTTCTTCGTTACATTTTATGGTACTTTTCGTCCATTGAATGCATATATGATTAGCAATAAGTGTCCAATTCAACAAGGATTGAGTGGTACTTCATGGAATGATGTACTGTCTAAACTGGGGCGTCAAAAAGCAAATTAGAATGTCCGTAAACGAAACAGAAGGATATGAAAATGAATAGGTACCAAACAATTAACAACTTGTCTTTTGTACGAGGTCCTAAAACATATTTGAATATAATTCTGATCAGTTTAAGCAAGAAATAGAAATAAATTTAAGGAAAATTAATGTAGTTAACGTCAAGGTATGCTCTTGACCGACCTTTTCTTGAATTGCAATGCGTAATTGTAGTACATGTAATTTCCTCAATTAAAATGATCAGTACGCTTTTGTAGGGTGCTCGTTTGAATTATTTGTAATTTCAAATATGAAAGGAGACCTTCCACAACCAAGATCTTGAATGTCACGAAACGGCATGTGCTATTTCAATGTCTAGGCCTATTACAAAGGAACCCGTCAAATTGGCATTTATCTTCGAGGGTTCATGTCGAAGAGATTGGGCAGGTCTGGTTGTTCCTGCGGTTTTATTGAGTTATTCATTACTACACGGGCTCAATTTAATTTATTTACCTCATTCATTATAGATCTACATAACCGTAATTGAATTCTACAAAAGAGCGCGGCATCATGGCTATTCTCACCCATTCTCGTTTTCATTCACGGACACTTTGGCGCAATGGAAACTCAAAATGGACAAAGAGAGATGCAGAACATGCAACAGTAGACTGTAGACTATAAATAATCAAGTATATTTACACATAAGTGCACTGTGTTATTATTTGCATCATTCGTCATCCATCGTCGAATTAATTGCGAGTTTTGTGTCAATTTTATAACGCATCTTCGATTATTATTGGCTCTACGCCTTAAGATTTAGTTTGAGGGCAAATAATTGCCTTCTTTTATCATTCTTCATTGCGTTTGCAGATAATTGTTTGACATACTAGATACCTGTATCTGAATGTTTCAACTCATTTGCGCAAGTGTTTCCTGCCATATGAGGACAGGTAGAAATAGAATATGGCGAAATGCTTCTATTTTAGGTATAAAAGTTATTTTTTAAATAGTCAACGTAATAAAAATTAAAATTAAGGACAAGTGGAGATCAAAACACAAAATAATACAACGAAAATTTGAGAAACTTTTTAAAATATCATAATTAAGTAATGCAGAAATGGGGGGAGCAATCTTTCTATGAGCATATTTTCGCGAAAAATACTCAAAACTCAACAAAACAGCTTCGAAAAACTTTGGCCAATTTCTGGAGGTATCGGAGAAATTCTTCCCTTTTGGGTCACATGGCCGTGGCGGCTATCAGATCTCGAATGCTCGATATTTTTTGGCGACCAAAAGATATCGAGTATTTCGACCATAAAGACAAGCTACAAACGCTTGCTTAGAAGGACAATTCGGGGTCGTCAAAGACTGGGGAGATTCAGAGAGGTGCCAGGTGCTCCCGTTTTGTTAGATTTCAAATTGAAAGGAGGCTAAATTGTAATAGTCATGAAATAAGGAATTTTGAAATGTGCAATTTTGCGCAAAACTAATTGTGGCTGCATTGACCTGGGCTAATATAGCGCGTGCGTGTTTTGTTCCAGAATGACCGTCCTTTTTTCTTTTCTTTTTTTGAATTGCTGAAACATTCTTCCATCGTTATCCCAGTTTCAGGCTTTGGTGCATAATTTTGAACTTGTTGCTTTGTTGCTCTACTTGAAAAGTGTGATGGGCAACCAGTACTTTGAAGAATAAATTTGACGATTGAAGTAACAATGGTTAAAATCTATTATCTGGGTACAACCACCGGGTCGGCGTCTCCGGTGGAAAATATAGTGGGCTGTTAGGCTTGTCTGTCGCGACCCTGACCCACTACTCCTGGCATCCAGCGTAACGACTATCATTTAAATTTTCTCTTCTTGTCTAGTTGAGTCGACTTGTCAGCACCCCCTTGGTCAAGTTCATCACCCACACTGCCAGCTACCTTGTCTTTCTTATCTTCATCTTCCTGGAATCCACTTTAGTCGAGACCTATGAGAGCCCAGGCAACATTGCGCACTCGACTGATTTTAGAACGAGTGTAAATCGTACAATTAATGCCAACCCAAAGGGTTCTTGCGCACAGGTCTTCAATGCCTCATTAATTGCCAATACGAAAGACTTGTTTCCTGTGCGTTTCTCATCGTTTACCATATTCGAGTGGATTATCGTCTTGTTTGTCGTGGGTAAGTCGTGTTCCTTCTCTGCGTGTCATGTCCTGTTTTGTCCGTTACTGGTTAACCTCCGAAGTATTCATTTGCACAGTAGTGCGTCCCAAATTTTGCGCCTTAAATGAGGGGAATGGTGTGGCATGCAAGAGCGCATTCATTATTGTCCAGCGTGCCGCAAAACATCTCGTAGAAAAGGAACAGTACGGACGTGTGACGTTACAAGATGCTCCCCCTCGCTTTTCCGATTTTGATTCGATTTGTGATTTTCTCCAGTGTACATTCACCAGCACTTATAATATGCTTACAGAAAATGGGTCACTTGGGAGACACTCCCATAGGAACGTGCATAAAATTTTTCAAACTTTACCGTCCCATGATTCAATATTCCCTAATCCGATCTTAATCAAACTTTGCATGTTTTCCTTTCAGACTTGGTAGTTGGAGCAATGACCGATGTCTCCCTTATGTTGAGAAATTTACCACAAAATGTCTCCCAAGTGACCTATTAGGAAATATTATACGTTTCCTTTAGAACATAATTATCTGGTCTTAAAAACGTCATCCGTTGCTGCCCAAGTGTGCATGAGACATGTAAATTGCCACACCTGCGATACTGGATCAACAGTTCCAATTCGGCTCTTTTTCAATCCACTGTTTATGTATATTTTTACACCTGTAAATGAGGATGGACCACATTTTCCTCAGTGTGAAGGACTCGATAAATATCTTTTTCTAATTAGCCCATAACAAAATCCATCGTTGTGGTTAACCTCCGTCCGTCAGGAGACTGTACCTATGAAATTCGGGGAGGCAATCGGACGCAGTGTCATTTTCCTTCTTCCATCGCTGGACAAGTTGGACACTTCATCCAATTGTTTCATTAAGTACATTGTAATCACTGTTGTGTATTCCTGATGTGCTTTTTATGCTTCCTTGCCTTGGCACTTTCAAGGAGACCTTGGTTGCACCATCACACGTCTTTGATCTTACTTTCATAGGTACTTTATGGGCGGAGATCAAGCAGATCTGGGAGGAGGGTTATCGCCGATACTTAGCATCAATATGGAACTGGCTGGATATTGCTATGCTGAATTTTTACATGACAACGTTTTCGCTGAAGTTCTGTAGCTACCACAAATCAAGTATTGCAATCAATTATTTCATAACTGATCCCGATGCTGCATGTGATAAGTTTCTCCAGAGAGAAGCAGAGGCATTGGAAATGTTCTACTTCGTAAGGGGAGGTGCGTAGTACAGAGTACAACATTATATCTCTGTTTGTAAACAATGTGTAGGCTTTGTGTTTGTGCAGTCAATTCATCGGACATATATTCGGTCTTAACATCACATTAAGACCACATTGCGGTTTACACAAGGAGAACGAGATGATTGTAGAGTCATTTCAAGAAACTTCCGCTACTTTTCAATAATAGGGCCTACGTATTCATTTTGACATTTTGACATTCAAATTCATTTTCGTGCTCACAATTTGTTATCTTTGCCGTTCAGTTTCGTTTCCATCATTCAACTTCATTTATGGGCATTCAAAACTACACTATCATCATTCTTCTGTGTAATGTCTGCTGCCTCTTGTCAATTAGTGCAGTCAAATTGAAACTTATTGTCACACTTTAACGTGGGGTGGTGATACCCTACGGTGGTGGGTACGCCTGAGTTTTAAGTTAGGGATCGATTTCTCCGGCGATTAACATACTCCAACTGAAGATCAAGAATTGGCACAAAGAATTATTCTCACTAAATATAAGAGTTTATTTATTTCTATTTGAAATCAAGATGAGAAACCAAACTTTAGGACTTTCCCAGTACTGAGATTGAGAAAACTTACACAATTGTGGATACTACTAAATGGAATAGACTTCGATACGGATTGATTGACAGGAATAAAGATTAAGCTTATGGTGTGATAATTGCAAGTCTTAGAATGAAAGTTCTGAGATGATAAATGATACTACTGAAGTCATAAGATATGGCAGAGCCAGCGGGTAAAGGGATAGGCAAGGGCAAAGGGTACTGTGCAACCCACTCTCTCAATTATTAACGCGTTTAGGATCTTTTACATGCGCGTGATTTTCTTTTTCGTTTACAGTAAATCTTTTTCGTGTTCTGAGAGTTTAATTTAGGAGTACATGTATTGGAGAAGTTGATGCTGTTGGTCTTCTATCGCAAGTCGTTGTGTATGATACCATTGTTCCATAATGATTTTTGGATGATTGTGAATGATTACTTTCTGTATACTTCATTTTGTGTAAACGATACAGGCCTACGCCTATTTTCTTGAATCAAATCAAATTGGATTTGTTTTGCTTTTTTTGTGTGTACCGATCCGGTTCTTTTTGTATTTCCCTATCCGATTATTGGGACCATTTCAAAACGTATACTTTAATAAAAGCTCAGGGAAAAAATTCAACATTAACATTAAAACACGAAAAGGAAAAAAAGAAAAACTGTTTACAGGCCTTTCTCTGCGATATTGCCCTGGAAAGCTTAATCATCTTTCCCTTTCTACGAACCTCATCTGCAAGAACCCGGCCGCTCCAATTTTTGTACAAAGTCACATTGACAAAAAGCTGTCTTACGATCGATGCACCGTTAAACCTTTTTTCCTTGGAAATCAGAAAGCCCTTATCTCTGGAACAAATTTGAATTAACACAAGTGAAACAAGATTAAATTGACTAAATCGAATGTTAGATCAACCTCTTTCTAAGCCATTGACGAATTTGAACGAACGAAGGGACTTTTGCAATTTGAATGAACGTATTTCCCTGAAGAATGCTCGATAACGAAATCGAATGCCTGCTTCTGATTATTGAATGCTAGTGTGAAGGATCATTCTTCTTAAATCGAAATTGAATTAATTTTTGCTGAAATCGGCCGCTAAAGCCTGTAAATATATATTACGTCCTAGAGGGCAAAAGTTCTCTCTTCATCTACATTCCACATTTTTGAATCAAATGGTTGATTGGCTGTTCTTGTTTACCTTTGAAGTTTCCTCGCCTCTAGGTTGAGCTCGAGAGAGTCTCCATGTAACATTAATGAGGTTGTCACTGGTTTTTTTTCTATTTCTTTTTTTTCAGATCGCCACGTCTGGGATGATGACGACCCTATCTTGTTAGCCGAAGCCCTATTTGCTATAGCCAATGTGCTGAGCTTCAGTCGTATGTCTTATGTACTGCCAGTCAGCGAGTTCTTAGGACCATTGCAGATATCTCTTGGTCGTATGCTGGGTGATATTGTTCGGTTCGCTGTGGTCTTCGGTGTGGTATTCATGGCCTTCTTCTGCTCTTTGTACAATCTGTACTGGTCATATGACCCAATGGAAGGAAGCGATGACTGCGCAACCAAAGCTGGCTTTGGATTTGGCACGTGAGTGCACTTATTTTTTTCATTTGTTTTGTTTTTTTACATTTATTTATTTTTGTTTTGGCAAGAGTAAACAAAGAAGCATAAAATTCAACACAATATGCACACATCTCAGATCACCTATGCTGGGTTTCACTTTTGGGATCAAACCCCTCCGGTTTTAACGCTTCATAAGCCGGTGACGGAATGCAATTTTCGTTTTGCTAAGAAGAGTGATGTCTCCTAAATGTGCTGACAATGTTTTTATCAAAAAGATGAACGTTTGTGGCGAAATGTCAAAGTTTTGTTGCAGGGTGCCTCCGAAAAAGTATTGATATATGGATTGAAGACCATGGTTGCAACACGGTTTGTTCAATTAAATTAAACAGTTGGAGGTTTAAAAGTCGTAAATTTTCCAAGCTCATGCCATTGTAACGCTTCTCGTAAATTGCTGACTGCAAAGACGTAATTACCCGAAAAGAGGACAGAGATCCGCCGATCCGCCTCTCAGCTCAGCTGGCGATCCGCCTCTCTGCAGATCATAGACTGAAAAATCTATAAGTTTACGACAGAAACACATCAGATCGTTTGATTTTCGAAATAATATTTGCATCTGAATTTGGTTGGAATTACCAAGAGAAACTCGTCCTATAAAATAATACAGCTTTTTATGGTAAAACAAGTAATAAGACGAATTCTATTCTCCAGGTTTGATCACACCTTCCTGACACTGTTTTGGGCGTTGTTCGGCCTGGCGCAACCCGACGATCCCAATATCCCTAATAGTAAAGCCTACGGCCAGAATGGACACCAGTTAACTGCCTTCGTTGGTACTTTGCTATTCAGCGTCTACTTTGTTGTCATGGGTCTTGTCATGCTCAATATGCTGATTGCAATGATGAGCAATTCATTTCAAGAAATTGAGGTAGGAGATTCAACTTCTTTCTTGCCAGTGCGTGGCTCTGCTACCGAGGAGAACATTATAGCGCCAATGTCCCTGTCATGTGTTTTGTCTCTTTTCCAAAAGTGTTTCGAATCAGGTTGCTTCAGTAAACCACATTTATTTTGTCTTCAGTATGAATGGGTTGCCAATGATTTCAGAAAAACCGCCCTTTGGTTTTCGATATTACCTCAATTTCAGTCAAAATGCACAGTGGTTGCATTAGTTTTAGAGAGGGTTGCAATTTCATTTAACACTCAACAATACAATTAGTGCTATCTGATGTTTTGATAGCTGTTCTGGGTTTTAACACTTTGTGAAATTTTCTTTTATTTTTGTACTGACGGCCAGACATAGCCCCAGCAGCCAAATCTAGAGGGGGGGAATGTGACGTAAAAAGACCAGGCCAAATATCATCGTGGATTTAGAGGATTATTCTCGGTCACAAGCATGCTTTTTGATTTACACTGTTGACGCTGCAATAATTCGCGTATCCTTTCTCATTCATAAGCAGATAACTTGTGAAAAGGGGATTTATTTACGAAAACTCAAAGTTTATTGGTACCTGAAGTCAAGGATGATTGGTTATACCTCTTGTGATTTGAGGAGCCGACTTCTACATCCATAATCCAATTGCCACTTTTGTTTCACATTAGGTGACCTGGGTTAGCTTTGATCCAAAGAAGGTTCAAATTACCGGTGACCCTCATTGAAAGAGGGTCGATGTTAAGCCAGAGTATGTATAGGTTCAGATTATCGGATCAAGAGAGTTTATAATGACTCAAAAACTCATGACCCGGAAAAGAGTCAAGAATCTGACCCAAGACTTTCCAAAGTGTTCATGTTCAGTGACTAGTATAATCAATACGAATAATCACTAATTTACCCGTAGCCACTTATTCATACACAGAGTGACCAGGATGTGGAGTGGAAATTCGCTCGTTCACAACTCTGGTTGTCTTACTTCGAGAGAGGGGCCACTCTCCCCATCCCATTCAACCTCATACCCAGCCCAAAGAGCTTTGTCTATGCCTATAAGTGGTTACGTCGGCAAATCCAAAATTGCAAGAAGAGGAAGCAGCAGAACGAGAGTACAAGGACAACGGTGCCAATGAATGACCGGGTGAGCGTCTTGTTTAATATAGGGCATCATGGGCGGATCCAGGACTTTTTTCCGGGGGGGGGGGCTTAGGCCGGAGACTTTTTAAGACGCCTCTTTTTGCAGAATAGCGGAAACGATTAATACATAATACCTGACATACATTGTTTACCATGGTATTGTTGCACTTAACGTAGCTATTTTTTTATTATTTTCTCCGTCCCCCTTTTTTTCTCAGAGCGAGGAGTGGGGATCCGACCCTCCCAGGCCTGTTTTCTCTATATATTTTTGTCGAGAGAATTTAATCCCCCTCTGCTATATTCTGATTGTCCTATAGGTCCCTCTCAACATTCTAATGAGGTCTTTTTTTAGGGTCATGTCTATACTTTGTCAAAACAGCAGTCGTTTTACTGAACGGTTGTAATAAGGTAATAAATATGTGCTTGGTTGATCAATTCAATGTGCGTTTACGACCGGCTCAGGTCGTAAACGGTTAATGTCCAACGTGATTAATGCCCGAGCTGCAGGCCGTTCAGTCTCCTGAGGCTGTCTTAAACATTAATTTAAGACCAGTCAAGCACATATTTATTCCATTCATGAATACCTTTTTAGTCAGAGAGTCAAAAGAAGTCAATATATGATGGATTTCCAGCTATTTTGTTCAAATATTTTACTTTCAGTTTCCCGAACACCCCCGTCTATTTTATGGAATATTCCTTGCACAAATTGTCCAATTACCTCGCGCGTGACGAGCCGCATGCACACAAACTCTTGACCAATCAGAATCGATTGAACTGTCTTGCGACTGTCTGGGGTATATATGAATATTCACTAAATTGATATCTGTCAAGAACGCCAGTCTTAGAAAACGGGATTAGCCTTTGACGAGGCAGTGCTTAGACACCATTGTATCAGCGACATTTCTTTCAAACCTTTCAATTTTTCTGAGCACTAAAATACTTGGCAGTTCCTCGATCGACTTTTTCTGCATGCTTACATTAAGCGGATTTTTTTTACAATCCTTTGCAGCGTAATGGCGTGTTTAACATCATGAACCAATCAGAACTTACTAGAAGTGAGAGCATACTTGAGGTAAGATCATATCCTGATACAAAGGAGTTAGGAGACTCAGAATCGTTAAGTCGATTTCCCCAGTGTGTTACATTAATTAGAACGTGCCAGATGGAAAACAGCTTTCATGCTTTTCGAGCGAAGGCCCGGCATCCACGTTGCTGATCATCTGGTATGCTTAATGCACATATCGGTGTTTTAGCAGGTGTCTGTCGGTAACCGCATGACGGGAACAGGTGGAGGCCCCCGCCCCTTTTGAAATATTGAAAGGCACATGATGTGTGAACCAGCTGCGCTGTTCATCAGCGTTCAGAGCGCTCTAAAAAATATCTGTATCCCCAAATGGCCCCTAGATTTTCACCCCAGTACATGTAGCACCACCGTACTGGATTAGATGAGTTAACTCTATAGACCTTTTTCACCCACGTGACTGGATTGCACTAAATGTAAACAATACCACCACGTGTGGACCGCCTTGGCCACGGTGATCGCATAAATTTATATTCCTACGGGCAAGCTTCAACCACTTGCAAGCGCAAGTTCGAACACTGCAGGAAGATTACCATCACAACACATCTTAGGTCCAGCACGATCGTGACATCACAGGAAAAAGGTCTATAGCTTTGATGTCGGTAAGGACTCGAGTGCAGTGACAATGGAAACCTATCCAATGTTAAGAAAAGGCAAGATACCTGGACCATGCTGAATAATCTGTGGTCCATTCATCCGTAGAGCACCATGAAGGGTATCGTCAGGAGGTATCTCTTCAAGTTGCAACGGGAAAAGGAAAATGATGAAGTGAATGAAGGTAGGCCCTAAGCTAGCTCCAAAACTATCAAAATTCTAGTGAATCTACTACTTTTATCGAATTGCATATGCATGTTACAGCCAATCTGTTCAGGCATGGAAAGGCTACAACTCTTACATTTGAATAGGAATCTTTTCAGTATGTTGAAAACAGTTGCTATAGTTACATGTGTATTGTATTCTTTCCATAAAAATGATGACAGCTAAAAGTCTGAACGGCCAATTCACTTGACACTCACAAAGCCATGACTTTGAAATATGTATTGTGTGTCATGAGAACATTCAAGTGTCATCCATCTGTGCCAATGAACCCCTTCCAATGAGTGCTCGATCAAAAAAAATTGCATTTGCACTTCCGTCTTAGCGCTCTGTTTGGGGGAGCAGGCGAATAATTCCACGCTGGAAGTCACTGCATTGTTGTGCGTAAAACTGTTATACGCGTCACTTCAAGCGGACTGAACTCGATCAACGCACTGCATGCATCACGGCGCGGTGCCAGAACTTGGCATCTTGGGCATAATGCAAGCAATAATACTTTCTTTTGATTGACCACAGGTGAACTTGATGAAATAAAGAATGACATTTCCAGTCTTCGTTTTGAGCTAATGGAGCAACTCCGTAAAGAGCCCAAATCCCCCACGACGCCTGCACCTGTCCAGCTTACTGAGTTACATCTTCAAGAAGATGCCGTCAAATCCATGAGTTTCCACATAGCCTGTGTGGAGAACAAAGTAGAAAATCTAATTGAGCAAATGGATTCACTTCGGAAAGACTTACTAACGGCTGTCAAAGGGAAACCGCCCCCACCTTCACGTATTCAGTACATTTGAAAATAACTGATTTGTGTCAATCGAATTGTTTGCCGGATGTAATGATGTTCTAATCTTTTAATGATAAAATGACTGGATAATACAAGCAGTCCGTGACATAGGCAGTTTCATTGTGATTTGGCATGGCATGTGATGGTAACATCGACAGAGGCCCAAAATACAAGATCTTCACACACAAAAAATGCCTATTTTATCATTTTAGAACGGTGTTAATGTTGCAACCTTACAGGTATATAATACGAAGGGCGTCCTCTCATGCGCGTTTTCAGTGCGCCTTTGACTCCGTGTTTGGAACCGGCGGAGCGTGTTCATTGGAATTGTTCAGGAGTAACAGTGAGGAAAATGGGATAGACAGACGGACTAAAAACCGTACATATAGAAAGGATTTGATTTGCTACAGAATGATCACTGGAAAGGCATATTTTATCAGACATGAAGACGATGTTATTTACTTTTTATTTGTTAACCCTTTAGAGTCATCCTCTCTGCCAAGGTCAAATTAAATGTTCTTTCTGTCTGATAGCCTTGAATCATTGTTAGTACAAACACTAACTATTCGGGTTGTGCTGTATAGTGTCCCGGGCGGTTTGATGCATAGGGTAGTATTCTTCTGACAAGTACGGATATCTAACTCCACGGCAAAGTGGTTGGCTTTTTCATTGTCAGTTGCGTTTTGTGATTTTATTACACTACAGGAATATTATTCTAACTGCATGACGTAACACCCTTGAAGACACGACATAACGACTTGGTCTTGTTTTGGGGGGATATTCCAGTACAATAGACGCAGGACGTTTTAGCAACGTCACACAAGAGGTTTGTAAGTTTTCTTTGACTGAAATGAAATTTCGCGATCCACCGTGTATAGGAAATAATTTGTGATAAAAGCAGCAATATAAAACGAGCTGCAAGATCGGTGGAATCCGATGTTTCTGCACCGAGCGAGAGTTGTGATGTACCGCGCTCTGAGCACCGTACTGGTAGATAAGTGCGCACCATCCCCAGAAGCACCATTGGCAAGAGATTGCCTTTCAAGGGTCCATAGGCTGTGTGTAAAATGTACCAACAGCGTAACCAAAAATCATACACATGAAATAGCAAACAATTGCCTTTGGGGGAACATTTTAAACAAAAATTAAGGATTCTTTCACAGACTAAAAAAAAAACAATACTGGTACATAATCAAGAGTTTCTATTTTAGTACATGTATTGTTCGAACAAATGTCAAACAATAAAGAGCTTGTATTTTATCATTCTTTATTTTACTAAATAAAAAATTGTATCTTTAGTTTGTGGTATAAAATTCTACATTTATAGTATACATTTCTAGCGAGGTCAGTTTCCTTTCTGGCATCATTACATAGTCATAAGGACTGTTTCTTTGGTAATTTTGTTGTATACATGTAGACATTTCTCCTCATTGTTTTAAGGTACACGTCATCCCATTCATTTCCTAGCTGAAGTCCCCTCTCGATAGCGCACCGACGTGAGAGGGTCAGATCATTCGGGTAGAGTGGCAAATTCAAATAAGAACTAGGGGTCAACGGCCACAGTGTCCAATTTGGATGAACTTGCTGATTTCCAGTGTGTGGTATTTATGTGCATGGTCTGCAAGGCACACTGTCAGCTGAAGAAGAGTTCAGATTCTCATGATCTTTTGACCATTATCCTCACTCGGTTAGGTCTCGGAAAGTAATCATACAGAATCTTTTTATTAACCTAAATGGCAATATCTAATGATATCTTTATTCCTGGGTGCGGGATCCCCGTGCATCAGTAAGGGGCCGGGGTCAGTCACTTTGTACGATGAGGCTGGAATGATCGGCCAATATTAAACTGGGCCCTTTCTGAAGTACGGAAATCTTCGGCCTGATGGATTTACTATTGGAAACCTTGTGGTAACGCAAAAGAGGTTGAAAGGATATTACGATTTTTTTCTTCCTTTATTTTTTCTTTTCTTTTTTCTTGATCTTTATACAATGTTTATGGGACTTTCGTCTAATAAATGTATAAAGCTATTTGATATGGTTCAACTACATTGACAAGTGAGGTTTATAAACATTTTCTGGTAGGCCTATGCTTTTCCAAGCAAACAAGGGCGTGTTCCGGTGATTAATCAAGGAAGTCACATCACTAGACAGAATTTCTGTTCTACTTGCTCAATGAAAATGTTTTTGCGAAAACTCTGTGTAAAGGGAAAAAGGAAGAAAATTTAAAACAGCAAAATATCCAAAATTCTGTCATTTGTGGTGCTGAAATAACTGCAATGTGGATGTTTCATCCTTGAAAAACATCACACAAAATACGGTTTCTTGCTGGAATGCCATCAGCATGAAAATGTAAACTACCATTTAAACCAAAAATATTCCAGCGTACCTTCAGGTGGAAAAATTTGAAGTTTAAAATAGGTATAAATGGGACACAACGATGCCTTTTCAAGGGTTTTATTTTAAACAGTACATTTCATTTCATGACCCCTTAAAAAGTGTTCAATGTCTACAGAAGACAGTAAAAGTTGGGTTTTGATTTGAAGAAATTAATTTCTTTTCATCTTTAATGATAGAGTAGCAGTGTAAAATTCATAAACAGCTGCAAACCGCTTACAGAGATGACATGAAAAATGCAAATTACATGTCGATCCTGGAAGAATCCTAAACACGAGTTTCACTACCGAGCGCCCGAACGGATTACGACCCGCAGGTCTGCGATACTCTCGATCCGGGAGTAATGCGCACGCAACATTTTTTTTTTTCCTTTTGGGAGTCAGCGTTAACCCGCGCAAAAGCCTTCGCAGTCCTTAAATGCGAGAACAGGTGAGGTTTTAGGACAGAAATGCCATACGCTCCCTTTACCTGTGTTATAGATTTGATAAACGTGCATGGCTCCAGTATTTGGGTATACACGTAGTTGCGTACACGTTTTCAAAATGCAAAAAAAGAAATACAAAATCTGTTTCAATTTTCAAAGGCATAATTTTGTTGCTTCTTTCATTTTGAGAACTTTGTAGAATGAATTTTTTACAATAAAAATGAGAGCAATGAAAAAAAACTGCTACAAAATGTTTACTTACAAAAGTGACCTGTAATAAGCATTTCATTCATTTTTTCACCTTAATCCGCGAGTACATGACTAAGTTGTTCTTACGGGCAACAGTCAGGGGTTGGAGGTTTGTATCCATGATTAGAGGAGATAAAACGCCAATGAGAAAGATCCTTTCAAGGTATATGCAGTGATCACTTCCTGTTGGTCACCGCTAGGGCGGATTCTATTCAGTAACATTCCCATTTCCAGTCCCACAGGTCTCCAATGCTTGGCTGGCTTAACTCTATAGTGACGCGGCCTACGGTGCCTTAGTACCACGCCTGATCAATACAGTACCGTATCCTATTCGGAAGTTGTAACGGAGACACGACGAACAATAGTTTTCCCTTGTCTCTGCGAGCCAGGGGCAAGTCCTGCTTTCTTTTTTAAACTTGTACACACGAATCACCGAAATATGGGAGAGAAATTAATTCACCACGAGTTATTTTCTTTATATCATAATAGGTCCACGACACTGTCATTGGCCAACATGTATATAGCACACAGCATCGCATTAACCTGTTATAGACTCATCTCCAAGCTCCGCAAGACTTCACAAAATAAATTACAATTCCCACTAAGCATTTGTACCTGACGAACAGTGATTAATTTTACTCAAACCAAAAACAAAGAGGGCACGAGTCGTGCTTCAGGTGGGGAAAAATGACGCTTGATTTAATCTTCCATTAAAAACTGAGCGACTGCCGACACGTTTGGATTTGCCATTAATACTTAGCACGTGGTATGTCATGACTACAACCTTCACACCTGCTTTGCACGCTACAAAATAACCTTTGCGTCTGCACATTCACATTTGAAGCAATATATGGGACGGAGAGAACCCCCCCCCGCCTTTGTGTTGGTCATTGTTTGATAGGAATCTCAGGAATTCTTTACAGACTTCGGGGGGGGGGGTGTTAGGTAACAATAGTCTAGAGTGTGTATAGGGATTGGACAGGTAAGGGGGGTACCCCTCCGTCCCATATCTTGCCTGGTATACACATTCGGACAAAATCAAACTTATCACATCATGATACCTAGTCTTAGGCTTTAATTTACCCCCAGTAAAGTGGTGATTTGCAAAAAGAACTACTTCCAAATTTACCGTAGGCCTACCCCCCCCCCAGTTCAGTGTAAATCGCATAGGATCTTGTTGGATTTGGCACGGTTAGGATTTTTCTTGAAACAGTGTAATTTGACCAACAGAATTAGAAGCCATTACTGCGGTGGCACAACGTTCGTGGACAAGTGGCAGGCGCGCGTTACATGCCTCTTCGACCAATAGGGTGTCGTGATTTGCTGAATGCACACGCACGTCAAGCTGAAGACCGCACGTGTGAGTGCGGCACATGGTCATATATCCAGGCGGATGGGGTATAATTGCCCACCCCTCCATCTTGACCGGGGGGGAGGCTAATGGCAGCCCCCATCTTTTCGCACCGAGAAAAAATCAAGTCGTAGTGAAGAATTTTGGGACTTCAAAACAACCAAAATATTTCAACAGCACTCAAAAAGGGAGTAGAATTTAAAAGGCCACGAATGTGCCGATTCTACAAGGAATGTAGTCCATAATATGTACATCTGTATCATGAACTCTAAATAGTATCATATCGTGTCAGCACCCCCTCCCCTGCGTTTCAAATTTCCACGGCCGAATTCCCCGTTCCCACAATTTCCGGCACAAATTGACGCCATTTGTGCGGTGCCACCGCAGCTATGGCGTCTATAATCAGATTGGTCAGTAGATACATTCAGATAGAATTACACATTTCTCCAGACGTCTCGATTTTGCATCAAATGTTCAATTCCCAACCAACACATGAAGTCGGCTTTTCACAGGAAGATGGGAATTACAGCAATTACGTGTACGTATAAATGCTTTCTTGACTTACAATACAATAATATGATAAAATTCTTGGTTACGTACATTCAAAGGCATTCCACTTGCGGGTAACACCTTTACAGGTTGGTACAGGGCTGCTAAACGCAACATCCCTTTCGGCAACTCTGGCTTGTCAAAATTCGTTGCATACCACATTTACAAATACAATTGGTTTCATGAAGTCTATGTGTTCTGAAGTGTTTCCCACCGTTTAAAACTCATTCACTCATCGGAACAGTAACCGCTGCTGATGTACATTGTTACACAACCGGGTCGGTATTACAATGTAATTAGCTCTTGCAGTTTACAATGTAGCATCAGCATGCTACTTGAAGTCGGAACAATGATCCGTTGGCTTGGTCTGTGAGACAGATGACTTCGTCAGATGCGCAACATGTTTTGTAGCCAATTAAGAACAAGAAAAAAATATTCTGGTGTTTGGGAGGCTGTACCTGTCACAAACAGTGCATCTCTGTAGCTGAAATAAATAGTCCTTAAAATCGTAGGAGAAAATTCGGCCGGCTGCCTTTAAAAGTTGAATTACTAAAATGCTACCTTTCCAATTCACCAAGACCTATAAATCTGAATCCAAACCCTCCGTAGTATACAAACAATTTTCCGCATTTCCAAAATAGCAAGAAAATGCTTATTTCTTCGGTGTCGTGTTCCTCAGTTTGTGTTGTAGGAAAGTGGAAACTTCCCACAAGACAAGAGTCATCACATATGAACATCACGCAACCAGCATGTCAATGTCTACAGGAAATGGTATCACGTTCATTTCCGTCTTCAGTACTAATTTCAGGTAAATTTCGTTTACAGTGCATCGAAAATGGACCAATGAACATGAGTTCACAAATTTTATGAAAACTTGACAAAAAACTACCCAAGCAAACGATGCAAATGATAATAGAATATTTCCATTTGCAGAGTGTTACCGTTCTGCCTTGCTCTTACGATTGGACTTTGTAATTTATGGCAACGAAGGACCAACCCTAACAGTTTTCATACATGTACCTTCAAATGGACAAAACTGACAGTGACCATAATTCACTGTACAAAGGATTAGCCAATTTAAGACAATATTCACTTCATGTATTTAAACATTAAAAACAGCATTTGACTTGAAAGTTTAGTGACTTTGAACAACAGACTGGCCAGTGTGATTTCACATTTCACTGATTATCTCAATTCTGTTCACTGCCACACAACAGGGAAATGGATCTGCCTCTGGAGCAAAACAAGGAATAAAAATTTTAAAAAAAGGAAAAGATTCTCACTTCAGGTGGGCATCTGAGAACCAAGCTATGATTGCTTTAGAATCAGTGGGGTTTCAGTGCATAGAAAATTCAAACCGTGTACCGTTTTTAAACAGACAATAAATGTGAACATAAGCCGATGTTTTTTATATTGATGGATTATGTTGAGTGTACAGTGTAGTATGCACACATTTATGGGCACACCTTTTGCCCAATTTACAAATTCTAATACGAGGAATTCAGCTCGGATGACCAGGAGTTACCACGGAATCGGATGATGGGCGAATGCTACACGTGCGCATTGACATACCACATTTAAGGTTCCAACAAGTTTCCATGTCTGGTAGGATACTGGTCAGATCCGCCTACACGGCCAATGCTACTGTTCACTGCCACCAGAAAATATTCATGCACATCGACATCCTAGGTACTGTCACATGCAAATGTGCTCGATCAATCCAACATTCAAGCCGTCAATGTACAATTACTTAATATCTTAGCAATGCCTTATATCGGGACTGTAGACCCAGTTCATTTTAATGGCTGACATGTCAACAGTCCTAATCGCTGGTATCTTGAACATAAATCATCTCCTTCTGGGCTAGTCCAAAGCCCTGTATTGTGGTGTCATCATCGGGTTCTGGTACAGCCTGGCACGGTAATAAACGACGTGGGTAGTTGGTGTGTAGCCTGAATTCACTGGGTGCGTCGTCTTGTATGAACACAAAATCATACACAACCTGATCGGATTAATAAAATCATTCAATGTTAAATCTTAACCAAAAGTAGTGTGGAAAACTGTAGGTATTTGTCAGTAATTGTGTTGCAAACACTTTGTTGTCAAGGATCATTGGAGATTACCTTACCCCAAAACAAAGGTACGTGAATGTATAAATATGGGAATATATATGTGCTTAGCTGGTCTTCAACGTGTATGCAAGCACATATTTATCCCATTCATAAATACCTGTTTAGGCAAAGAGACAAAAGAAGTCAATGTATGACGGATTTCCAACGATTTTGTTCTAGAATTTTACTTTCATTTTCCCAAACACCACTGTCAATTTTCTTTTTTAGTTGTCCAAAAGAACCTCTTTATATGGATTTGTGTACACAGGCTCTTGACCAATCAGAATCAATTAAATTGTCTCGTATCCTGGCGCCAGTGCGTGATTTACGCAGCGGGCATTATCACTTCTCAGTTGAGGGCATTATCAAGTGTTAATATACACTCAAGTTGCACATTGTTGAAAAGGGAAACTGTCTGAGGTATTTATGAATGCATGTTTGTAGCAACACTACATATTATGGCATAAGAACAAGAAAGATCCTCAGATAACTACTTGGAGTGCTAGGGTAAATCTAGCCTCATGACATAATCCATCCAGATTTTTTCTTTGGGGGCTTGGTTTTGTTTTTCCAATGGCCAAGCTGACGGTGAATGGAATGCTTTACAGGTTACTGAGGGACGCTGGTTTCTTTATACCTCGAGTTGAAGCAGTCAATGTTTGTTTCATTTCACCTCGTCAACAGATTCAGCGCAACTTTGGATATATCTTTTTGCCAAACACCGATGTAAATGTACCTCTGAATTGGTAAGTGCATGTACTTTAGAAGTCACTTGTACGTTTCCAGACTTCCCCTGGATAACGCTTTCCCCAACACTGTTATAACTCAGACCACATGCAACACACATAAGCAGAGGTGTATGCCCACAGAAAAGAAACTACCCTGAAGAGTATGCTACTCCAGGTGCTGTGCATCAAAAGCGACACTGCTGCCTTTTTGGAGTGCTTGACAACACAAAAAGAAAATCTGACGCACTCTTGGCAAATCAGAAGACACAGTCCCCAAGGTACCAATATAAGGGTGTAAACAGGGGTTGTCGTACCTGCAGAGGGTCCGTCTTGAGAAAACATCGCTCTAGTCTGGTGCCGCAGGGAAGCTTAACCACTACACGGATAGCATCCGGGTTGGTAGGGTCTGGTTCGGCCGGAAGACTGGCTGCTTTGGCAAGCTTCAACTCCTCCCTCTCCTGTCAAAAGCCAAAACATGCACGAAAATTACAAGATGCCGACTCCCTAGGACAAAAGCCTCGCTGCCACGGATGCCAACAATGCCATTCGACCTTCAGTTTTATTTTACACAGAAAACCAGTCCCTGCCCTTATTACATCACATCTGAAAAACTTTTTATTTAAAATAATCTCCCCAAACCAGCACATAATTAGATAAACACTGCATACAGTATGTTGAATTTGTTTGATGCAGCACTGAGCTAAGACATGTGCTCATTGCATCTCCTACGTGCAGCCAAGGGGTTTTCAATCAGCATTTCAACATTCTGCAAACGTATCGCAGGGCAACATCTCAGTTCAATTTACACTTCCGATCCTTACTGCATCACGCTCCTAATATTTGGCTAACTAGCAGGAGCTGTGAGCCTTATTGTAGCTGGATGAGATTGTCCGACCTGAATTCTTCTCTGCTCTTGGATTTGTTTTTCCAATTCCTCCTCCAACTCCCTCTGCTTCCGGTCCTTCTCTTCCTGCCGGCGTCGTTCCTGACCAACCATCAAGAAAACAAAATGCAACTCAGCCGGACTGGTTAGGTCACCAAAAAAGAATAGCAGGCGACACCAGATATTGCAAAATGATCCAAGTGAATCATATGACCTTTGTTCCAAGGCAGATCTGGAGATGCAACATACCTTCTCTCTGTCCTGTCTGAGCGACTCGTGATACGCTTCGTCTTGCTGCTGTCGCAGAGTGTTGGCTTGAACCCGCTGCTGTCGTTCATGCCTCATGCTGACCAGGTAGGCCTCCGTATCGGCCATGACGCGATTCAGTCGGTCTATCAAGTCCTGAGGCTGGATCGCACCAGCTATTCTCTGCACGACGGTCATTTTGTTCTCCCTCAGTACAATCAGAGCGAGGAAAGGGTAGGTGGGTTCCCGCAGAGCCAAAGACACTGTAGTAATGACAAACACATGAATCCGTATCAAAGAGGACTCCTCTCTAAGCATATCCACCCTGAGCTGAAGTGCACCCCCCATAGGCGAACAGAAAGACAGGTGCTTACAAGTGGGTTCTTACACGCGTTCTGCATGAACGCAAAGACCATACATGTACATGACAGAGAAAATTAGGTACAGGTACTCAGTGTGCATTACGTCAAACGCGCATGTACTTGCACGCCTCATCGCGCTTATGTGGTGCATACAGAAAACACATCCTCTGTTGTTCCACTCGGGGCAGATTACCTTTTGAAGCAGTCCTTACATTGTCTAATTCCTCTCCCAGAGATGTTTCAGCAGATAGAATTAGATGCCCTAACTGCTGTGGCAGCACACTTGGGGGCAAGAGATACATGCATACAGACCTGAAGACAGACCTCCCAACATTAGCTATCAAGAGCTCGGAATCCTTTTCTCCAAAATTTGAAATTTTTAATGAAAAAGTAGAATATTTTCCGAACTACCATGAACAAAGAAAAATGAGTGCTGTATTGTACAAGAGTCGAGTCCGTGATGATGTACAGTATTACATGTACTCACCGATTCCATAAAATTTGAATTTCCACAAGAGTTTACATCAGCTGACATGATCCGCAATAATTTTTCATCTATTAAATGTGTTGATTCACATAAAAATTCAGCGTGAATTCTGAGCAAAATTCACAGCGTTGTGCTTGCCCACCCTGACCTGATCATGGACCATTTCACAGCAGAGCTTAGTCTTGGATCCAATGTGGTTACGAGCAAAACGAGGCGCAGCGCGATGCATAGTGTCAGTCACAATGTGCCAGTAGCTTGTTGATAGAGGACATTTTATCGCGTGATCACATCCAACTCTAGGCAAGTACACTTCAAAAGAGGGCGCTGCCACGGATATGGTGCGCTGCGACACAGTGCATACACAAGATTACGACATGATAGGTGTGTCAAAATTGCAATTTGGCCAAATTTTAGGGTCCAAGTCAGAATGGCAGAAACGAAGTGAAAAAGTGGAATATTTCTGCCAAAATCAGGAAGGTTGGGAGGTCTGCCAACAGGGTGTTGTGATAAACCAGAATACACACAGTTGAAGACCAAATGCATGAGTGGGCTGTGGAATCGCCTTCTGCATATTAAGGAGACAGTTTCTTCTGCTTTAGGAAAGTTGAAACCGCATTGTGTGACAATTTTTTGTCGACACAATGTTGTTGATCCCCACACCTACATTTCTACACACATGTAAGGGTAGACTCCAAACCCTGGTAACAAGTATCGTCGCGGTAGCAGTGCGATAACTGCATCACCAGACGGGGGCGGTCCATCAGAGATCCTACGTGGGGGGGGATTGAAAGTACATGTAGCAGCACTTTCAACATGCGAGCATACAAAAGGCCAGGGAGGTTTGAATGCATTGATCTATTCTTGTGGATATACATAAGCAGGGATGGCACTTATCATTACTTTACCTACATTGGATTTGGCATCCATTTCCAAGCACAAAGACTTGTACTTGTTTCCTCTGGAGCAGAGAATTGTGGAGGAATCAGTAACATTGCTACGGTGCGAATGTGTAGGGAGTAAGGGACAGCAAGACACATATTCTTACCTCTGTAACCCTCAGGGGTGTTGATAGAGGCAGCCCAGAACAGCATTCTAGTGTTGATAAACTCTGTCACTTCATTATTGCATAAGGTCTCTCTATCATAGAAACAAAACAAAGTAATAAATGACTGTCTCGATGGGCTTTTTGGAGTCTCCCTTTTTGCCTCTCTTCCTCCTTCCTCTTGCCATCGCTAGCTTCAAGTACTAAAATCAGGGGATTTTCAGCAGGCAACCGAACAGGGCAGGTGTGTTGCAAACTAAAAGAACCCATGTGGAGCGCATTACTTTCTCAAAACAATTTATGGCAATTTGTGAACAAGAATCCTGAATTAAAGTTTTGCCTTCCGCTCTTTCAGGGATATTCAATGAAGCCACATGCGTTAAAGACACTGCCTTTTGACAAAACCTTTACTTTGAGATACATGCACATGAACAAATTCTAGTACCCTTGTGTACATGTAAGTGTTTTTATGAAGCATTTAATCATCTACTTACCATGCTTACAGTATCATTACGAACAATTTTGAAGAAACACTTCATGAGGTTCCATCACTCACCTACAGAACACAGGTGTATCTTCATGATCATCTCCATGTAAATACACCAGGAGGAATTTCAACTCTCGTTTAGCATCAGTCAAAGCCTACAACACATAACACATGTACACAAAAAATCATGAGAGTCCCTTTCTTCTGAACAGTAATGGACACACCTAAAATGCACACAGCAGCTGGTAGCACTTGTTTGATACCTGGCAAAGCAGGAACTTTCAAAGATCCATGTCATTTCCTCTCAGCATAAATTTCTAGCTATCAGTAATTAGGGGAGGTCTGGTTGGATGGGTTGGTACCTTGCTCATGAATTATCCTGGATTCAAATCCAGTCCATGTGCATCCGGTGGGGTTTGTCTCCACTTTTAAACAAGCTTGACAATGAGCATTCCTTGAATGTCTACTCTATCTTGATTGCTTCGGACTTCCAGGGTACAGCATGCACATGTAAATGTACGTATCCAAGCAGGTGCACTGTACACTTAAGAGGCATCCTTACCTCATCAAAGACACAGCTCAGACACGTACAATCCAAACAAATTGTTGATTTTAAAAGCCAAAGTACTTGACTACTTGTATAAATGTAAATTAACAGCCAGCTCTTCACAACCATCATGTAAACAGCATCGATCACGGTAATCATTGCGGCTGCCAATAACACATTTACCTTGATCAAAAGACTGCCACTTGATTTCCTTCGAGCAGCAAATAGTGGTACACAGATGCCAACAGAGTTGGACCTTTGCTACACATTGATAAGTACCTACATGTACATGTAAGACAGTTTAACCATTCCTATCGTGTAAGAATTAGAAGCCATTACTGCGGCGGCACAACGGTGGACAGGTGGTGCGCGCGCGTTACACATGCCTCTTTGACCAACAGGGTGTCATGATTTGCCAAATGCACGCGCGTGTCAACCTGAAGCATGTGCGTGTGAGTGCGGTGCCACCGCAGTTATGGCATCTAATCAGATTAGTCTATTGGTCAAGAGCCCGTCACGTGATCAGCCTAACACGGTTGATAAAGCACTGGCCAGCTGATTCTTACACACTTTTCTGGTGTTATGTGAAATTTAGACTCCTACGAAATCTGGTCCCTTTTCCCTTCTGTCCGTTGAATGTTCACAATTTTCGCTTATCTTTGAGAGTCCCAGATTCACACTTTATACACATATGCATGTAGTACACTGGCTCGTCATGTCCTACTCTACCTTACATGTACACTGTATGCAACACATGCACCAATCTCCATATACATGACTACACACGAGAGACACATACAGTGTACTATAACCTGGCTAGAGGGGCATTTGAAAAGGTACAGTAAAATTGTTAAACAAAATCACTGGAAATTTACACTTTGTTTACCTTTTTCTTGACTTCCTGACTCACGAGGCTCAGGCCATCACCGGCATCTATTCCTCTAATAAAGTCTTTAACAAAGATTTGAGACTGCCAAGCCCTTAAATCATTCCAAATCACAAATGAACATACATGTACGGTGCACTTAAATTTACCTGACTATAGGTTCCTTGGTAAAAAGTTGGATGGTCACGTCCATACTGCTCATTAAATCTGCCAATAAATGACACGACATCACCAACAGGGTCTGTGACTGTCCGTCTAGGGTCGGGCCGGAAGAATCGCAGCACCCACTGCACGATGTCCCACAGGGTGAAGGTTACAAAGCGAAATGGGAAGAGTATGGCCATGTAGCCCCACTGAAGAAGCGACGGGCGCGGCTGGGCTCGCTGTACTGTGTAAATCCTGGGGGAAATTGAATACATGTACATGTATGAGAAACTCTGCTGTCTGCAAGGGCTGGATGACGAACCTGGAGCCTCATCATAATTCCCTTCTAGAGGTTTCCTTGCTAGTTATTTTTGAAAGACATCTGTGTACTTTTATTTGTAAAAATTATTACCCCAACTCTCCCCCTAGTTCAACTGACTGAAGCTCATATACCAGTCTATTGCACAGTTTCCCTTCGAATGCATGTAGACATGTAAATGGACATGTTACCAGGAAACTAGGCTGAGGCCAGCTGGAATGGATGATACACAGCTGTCTGATGTGCTTAGTGTACATGTCCTTATTTATAGCTACAATTAATCAACAAGGGTTGAGCTGTAAGCAACAAACCTTTGGTCACTGGAGTAAGTGTTGACTTCTGGAGGAGGGGTTTCAATTCTACTTCTTGGGGTGTCAAACACAGTTGGTCTGCCTTCATTAACATTTAGTGTGTCTTGTACAGCAGTCTGGTCAAATTCAATCCAAAATAGAGATCACTGTACAAATTACATACATGGGAAGTCATAACCACAGCAATGTCAAGGTCACGACTGGTTAACATCCTCCAGGTACACAGGTACATGTAATTCAAGTGCACAGTAGTGGTACATACGTGTATGTACAGAGGATTTATTGTGGAATAATAGTCAAGCTTGATTTCTACTGTACTGTACATGTATGTATGTAGCTGGGTTGCAGAGTTTTTATTCTGACTAAATACATGTGCATGTAGGTGGGTGTCTTTTTGGAGTAGGAAGCAAAGTTTAACCTTCAACTGACATGACTCTGGCTACCTAAATGACATGACTCTGGCTACCCAAATGACATGACTCTGGCTACCCAATCGACATGACTCTGGCTACCCATCTGATACGACTCTGGCTACCCAAATGACATGACTCTGGCTACCCAATCGACATGACTCTGGCAACCCATCTGATACAACTCTGGCTACCCAAA